TCCAGCTTCAAATTCCCCAGTTGCTTTAGATCACGATCAGAGATCTCATAATAGAGCGTTAATGGAGATGCAACCAATATACTCAGACCCTCCACCAAAGATTGATGAGAGCGAATTAGCATACAAAGAAATACAGAATGCCTTTTACGTTGTTAAGAACATTAATGGTCAAAAACTTCCTGATGAGAAATGGTTAGACCCAATAACTAAAGCAGGAGAAAGATTCATTATGTTTAACATTGACCAATACAGTCCAAGAGGAAAAGATTACTTCAACAAGATGTTTCCAAGAGTTATGGCAAAGTTCATTGGACAGATAGACCTTTTCAAACAGAAGTGGACATTCTATTACGACTTTGATGAGAAGAGAAACATTTTGCGTCATTTGAACATCAATACAATGGGATCATTAGTTCATCAGTTACTTAATGAAGCTCCAATAGCAGAAGTACAAGAATTAGCATCTAAAGTCCTTGAATCAAACTATGACTTCTTCCTTTGTAGTATTCCTTCGTTAAGGAAGATCGAGATCTTTGACTATACAGCTTATTCAGATGTTGATGCTTCTGCTTTGAGAAAAGGAACGTACACACCATATAAACTCACAGCTGAAGAACAAGTTATGTTAGATACGATGAGAGCAGCAGGTCAAGAAAAGATCGCACTCAAGATCATCAAACAAAACCATTCAAAGAAGAGAAACAGGTCACGTAATGGTCAGCTTTGGACATGGACATGCAAATTACCTATTAACTTAGAGAGGTATCAGATCTTCAACGAACTTAATGCAGAGACAGCAAAGAAGATGATGAAAGATTCATGTTTCATCTACGCTTGTATTCAAGCTGGTGTTGACGAAGCAACAATTAATCATATGAGGGAAATCATTCGTGTCAAAGATTTTCCAATGTCAAAGATTAAGGTTATTGCCAAAGAAACAGGAATAAGGTTCCATGTCATCAAATACAACGAGAAGTATTCAAATCATTCATATACTTATGAACCAGATGAAGAACCAAAGATGACAGTAGAACTTTTATTAATGTATGACCACTACATGTTGAACGAAAAGCTTCCAATAAGTTCAATGTTCATCAAGAACTATGAAGATGTTTGTAAGTTGTGCAAGGATTGGACTTTAGAGAAGAAGATGTTAGTTAACAGAAGATATGAAACAAGGTATGCAATTAACTCAAAGTTAGTTACACCACTTGCAAAAGTCATTGAACTCTTGTTTGCTAACAATTATTTCGAACCAATTAGAACAGGAGAACTTTGCACATACTTCACAACGATGTATAATGAGAACCTTGAAGAAATGATTGACCTCACATACAATGAGCGTTATTGCGCAAGGATGAAGAAAGATTGGAGTTCAGAGACGAAGAAAGACATGAAGTTCCCAAGAGAACATGTTTTCTTTGCTGACTTCGAAGCATCAACTGATGGAAACATTCACAAAGCATACAACATTTGTTTCATGGAAGATGACGATGATGGTTATACATCAATTTGGGGAAGTGACTGTGCGTCAAAATTCCTCGAAGCTTTACCAGATAAGAGTTTAGTTTATTTCCACAACTTATCGTACGATGTCACTTTTCTCATGTCTCAGTTAGAAGAGATTACAGGAACTCCAATCATCAAAGGTTCACAAACGATGCAGATACAAGGAAAGTACAAAGGAAAACTTCTCTGCTTCAAAGACTCTTATGCAATCATCTCAACTAAGTTGGAAAGATTCCCTGAAATGTTTCACCTCACTAGTGGTGAAAAAGAAGTTTTCCCATATAATTACTACACGGAAGAGTTAGTTAATACAACTAAAGTTGGTAACATCGATGATGCCATGAATCATGTCAAAGATATTGAAGCTTTTAATGAGAACATTGAGAAGATTGAAGATTGCAAGATTGATGATGAACACTTTGACATGGAAGTTTATTCGTCATTCTATTGCGGTCAAGATGTACGCATTTTACGAGATGGCTTTCTTAAGTTCCGCAATGACCTCATGACTGAGTTTGAAATAGATGCTTATGATTATGTTTCAATAAGTTCTATCTCAAACAAACTCTTTGAGAAGAGAGTATATTGGAAGAACGGTAATCTCTTTGATCTTGCAGGAAAACCTCGTGAATATATTTCCAAGTGTATTCAAGGAGGAAGATGCATGCTAGCTGAGAACAAGAAGCAATACAATGAAGGAGAACTCATCACTGACTTCGATGCTGTATCATTGTATCCATCAGCAATTGCTAGACTTTACTGTTTAGAAGGAATTCCAAAAGTTATGACAGAAGAGATGAAGAGCAGTGAATACTTGTTGGAGCATCTCTTTGATGATGACCAAGCTGAACCAACAAAGGAAAAGTTCATCTCAGGATTTTACTGTCAGATCGAGATCTTGTCGATCGGTAAGAACTCAGCATTCCCATTGATTGTCGTCAATCCTGACATCAACCCTGACTTACATGTTGCCAGAAGTTCCAATACATGCTGCAAGATGTTCGTAGACCACATTACGCTTCAAGATCTGATCAAGTTCCAAGAGATCTCATGCAAAGTCATTGATGGATACTATTATGATGGAAAAAGGGACATGACAATAAGGAATGAAGTTAAGAAGCTCTTCGAATTACGTGCTAAGTATAAGAAGGAAGGTAATCCGATACAAGAGATCATCAAACTTCTTTTGAACAGTATCTATGGTAAGACGATATTAAAGCCCATTGACAAAAAGATTCGTTTCATCAAGGACAATAAGCTCACTGACTATATCATTAAGAACTATAATGACATACAGACAATAGAGTTCATCCCCGATTCCGAACTTTCATGTGTAAAGTCATTTAAACCTATCGTTCGTCACTTTAACTATTGTCCATTAGGTGTTTCAATCCTTTCTATGTCCAAACGAATCATGAATGAAGTATTCTTCACAGCAGAAGATTTGGGCTTGAAGTTGTTCTATCAGGATACAGATAGTTTACACTTGTATGAGAAGGACTTAGATAAGTTAGCAGAAGAATACAAGAGAAGGTATAACAGAGAACTCATTGGAAAAGCACTGGGTCAATTTCATTCAGACTTTGCAGAGATTACTGCAGGACATATGTCTAAGGCACAAAGATCTATATTCGTTGGAAAGAAGACTTACCTCGACGAATTAACCAATGACCTCAAGGAAATTGCTTTCCACTGTCGAATGAAGGGAATCACACAGGACGTAATTGCACTTACTGCAAACCAAATGTTCCCAGATGCGATACAAGTACATTATGACGAGAAGAAAGGTTTGTTCTTCCCTGAGAAAGTTGGGGAAAAATATAGCATCGTGGAATTGTACAAATCTCTTTATGAAGGTGATGAGATAACCTTTGACTTGTGCATTGGTTCGAAACCATGCTTCAACAAAAATAAGGACTTCACTATTTCAACGAAGTCATCTTTTGAACGTAAGTTAAAGTTCTAAACACTTACTTATTATTTTTCTTAGCTTCTTCCTCTTCTCTCAATTTCTTTGCAATCATTCGTGGATTCTTTGCGCGTCCAGCTGCTAATGCAGCTAATTGTTTCTCTGTGAGTTTACGCTTTGGTTTAGCTGGTTTCTCTTCTTGTGTTTGTTCTTTTGGTTTGAGTTCATTAAGTATTTCTTCACGAAGTTCATTCTTGAGTGCTTCTCTGTCGAAAGTATTCTCAGTCATTTTGTTAGGAGTAAAAAATTTTATTAGGATAGAAATGACGTCAAAACTTTCACCAAGTGAAAAGCAATCAATCATATTGAATGAAGCTAAAGGAATACAACATCCATTATATTATGTTTGTCATATGAAGAATGGTTCAGTTCAAGTTAGAAAGAGAAAGGCACCATTGAATTCACCAGCTCCTGCCCCAGCTCCTGTTGTTCAAGAAGCTCCTAAAGTTGATGAGAAGAAAGAAGAAGAACAAGCATATACTAATAAAATGTTGTTAGAGATGATGACAAAGATATTAGAACGTAACAGTGTAGTTAATGAACCAAACATGGACCCAATTGAACGTGAGAAGGAAACTAAAGAGAATCAAGAATATGTTCAATCAATGGAAGAGAAAAGAATACACTTCGATGATGAACCAGAGCCTGAACCAGAACCTCCTAAACCTCAGCCACAAATAAGACGAATAATCCCAAGAATAAGAAGATTGTAAATTTTTTATAGCTGAGAAAGATGTTGAACGATAACCTCAATACATACAGTATTGCTGATTCCATCAGACAAGTAAGATATTATTTCGATCAAGTTGATGGGGCAGTTCCTATTGGAGATACTAACCATAGATATGTCCCAACAAAAGTGCCAGCTATGCCGACAAATACTATTGATAACGGTTATATTACATTTAACATATCACCACCTGGTGAGAACATGATTGACTTATATAATACGTTCATTAGTGGTTATGTCGATGGTGAGTGCATAATTACAACAGAAACTGAACCAGCTGATGAAAAAGTTCCTAAATATGATGGTGAAGTATATAAAGAAAGAGCTGTTGAGACAGCTCCTACAGGATCAAATGTTACAGCAATTAAAGCAATTGATACTAAATATGCTGGTGGCAAATCATGTGCACATCTTCCAGCAATTTGGTTGGGATACATTGATTCATTCTATGCTGTTGAATCATATCAATTAATCGCTAATGGTAAAAGTGTTTATACACAAGATAATGCTAGAGAAGAAGGTTACATTACTTCTACTGCATCTACAACAGAAGCTATTAAGAAAGTTGATGTATTTAGTAAGGCTAGACATAAAGATGTTTTCAATAGATGTGATACAGTTCGTTCTGGACAGATTATTGAGTTCAATAAACCAATTAGTGGTGCAACTACATTAAAGTTCCACATACCAATCAAGATTGACCTAAGAAGATTCCTAATACTTAATAACATTAGATTCCTTCCAGCGTTTGCTGGTAACTTACAACTTAAGGTTAAGTTCAGTATTGCTGGTATGGTTTGGACACCATTAAGTTATCAGGATATTCTACCATTACCGAACATGCAAGCCAATGTTACAAGCTATATTCCAATCACTAATCACTTCACTCCTATCTATGAAGGTATCAAAGTTATTGATACTGTAACTTGGAATGCCGATAAGAGTACGATATCATTTGGTACCAAGTTTATTAAGTTCACTAAGAAGAATGCAAACTTCTTTGAAATGATTACATACTGTAACTCATTCTCTTTGGACCCTAACATCTATAGTGATTTGGTGACAAGATATTCGGCAAAGACTCTAAACTTCCCAATCAAAAGAATTGACTGCATTACTATGGATGGTTCAATGGCTAAAGGTGAAGGAACTCCTTGTACATTCACGGCAGCATTTACTCCATTATATGTGAACACCATTTATACACTATTTAAGAAAACACCTAATTATAACACTACCTATGAAAATCCATTGTTTGAACAAATTCAATTGAACTGTGGAGCATATGGTAACATACCCGCTGAGGCTCAAGCATCTAATGATCCAATCTTCTATGAGATGCAGGCAAATGCCACTAACAATAATAACGATACTGTTGGCTTCAACTATGATGTCATGAGGTCTATCACAACCACATCAGTCCCTCAATTTGGAATCGAGTCAAATGACTTAGGTCATTACCTATGTGGATTCCCTTGCGAAACTGATTATACATTCCAACAGGGTCAGTTATCTAATTCACCTATTACATATAAGCTTACAGTTAAGCCAACAGCAGAGTCTATTAAATATACTGAGAAACCAGTGTTATGCTTCTTACGTCACGTTTGCCTCTCCATACAGATTAAACCTGTGGGACCACCTATCGTACTTCTCGACGATTATGATTTATCAGCCCCTGCTAGTGAATAAAGGTTAGTTTACATATGAACGTTTATTTTTACACATATATGCGTACATATGCGCGCCCGTATAGTGTCACTTTTCTGTCACTTTTTTCATTGTGTCGGTGACTGTAGCTGTAGGCTACAGTCGACGCACAATGTATACTGTACTTCTACATTCAAAATAAATTTCATTAATTTTTAGGTACATATTAAGGTACTTATTGTAATAAACAGAAATTCATCAAAAGTGACAGCTCTCAATTTTTTGACATTTGTAAATTCTAAATTGAATGAGAAAAATGAAATAATACTAAGCATAATACAATATTCTAGATTTAATTATAATTAGGAAAAAGTTAGTTTTGAGAGTACTTTTCATAGGCATATAGAATGAAATCTTCTGAAAAATAATATCACATAAACTCATATTATTTTCTAATATATAACTATTTTATATAAAAATCAAATTCAATGATCTTAAAAGCGAAGGATAAACCTCAAAATTTACGAATATAATGAGTGGGAATATAATGCTTATCTATCATAAAACCATATGAAATATCAATTTTTGCTTTACGCCTAATTTTTGACGACAATTAGCAAAAAATGTTAAATGTTAACACTCAGTCCATTTGAATATGAAAAATAAAATTGACTTTGATTAAATGTTTTTATTTATCATGCAATTCTTCTTGCGACCAAAGATTTGAATAAAAGTTCAAAAAATAAGATAGCTTAAAAAATAATATACGGTAGTGTTTACTAATAGATGAATAGTATATAAATTCTATTAAAATGGATTTGATCCAAAAAAATATATAAAATTTGATCATAAATAAAATCGTTTTAAATTACTTCTTCATTTAAGTTATAACAATTATTTTTGGTTTTATATTTTTTTGGATCAAATCCATTTTAATAGAATTTATATACTATTCATCTATTAGTAAACACTACCGTATATTATTTTTTAAGCTATCTTATTTTTTGAACTTTTATTCAAATCTTTGGTCGCAAGAAGAATTGCATGATAAATAAAAAACATTTAATCAAAGTCAATTTTATTTTTCATATTCAAATGGACTGAGTGTTAACATTTAACATTTTTTGCTAATTGTCGTCAAAAATTAGGCGTAAAGCAAAAATTGATATTTCATATGGTTTTATGATAGATAAGCATTATATTCCCACTCATTATATTCGTAAATTTTGAGGTTTATCCTTCGCTTTTAAGATCATTGAATTTGATTTTTATATAAAATAGTTATATATTAGAAAATAATATGAGTTTATGTGATATTATTTTTCAGAAGATTTTGTGTTCTTCTTCAAAATTTTATTTTTTTATTAAAAAGAATCTTTACAAAATATACATTTACTTTAATTAATATTTAAAAACGTGCTCTATCAAAAGTTCCAAAAATTCAATATTTTAGCTTTTCTGAGGTGTCACTTTTGATGAATTTCTGTTTACAACATTATCTTCTACATATATAATCTTCATTAGATATATACATGATAAATAAAATTCATAAAACATTAAAAATCAAAAAATTAGATGAACCTTGGCAATTAAACTTTATTAAATAATAGTTGTTTATAAATTATATTATATTATCATTTAATATTATTTTGATAATGAAGATTTTATTTTGCAATAATATAAACGAAATTTTTTACCTTATGAACTTTTGATGGAAATATGCAAATTTAAAATAATAAAGAAAGCCGCGAGCGAAGCGATCGGCTTTGTTCGAAGATTTTGATTCAAATCTTTGCTGATCTGTAATTCGCGGAAGCCGCGAGCGAATCGAGCGGCTTAGGTCTAAGATTTTGATTCAAATCTTTGCTTATATTCCTTAAATTCTTTATGAAACTCGCAACAGTTCCATAAAAAATTTTAAATTCTAAACTGTCGAAATTACCGATCGGTAATCACACCCTTCACGGGTGTGTCACTTTTCCCAAGCGTGTCACTTTTAGCTAAAATTACCCTACTCTTTTTTTGTATGGCAGAATAAAAGGAATCAAAATTGAAAACGCAAAATTTTGACAATCCCTTCAATTTAAAAATATTTATATTTGTTGGTAAAAATGAAACTAATTAGTTGAGAAAGAAAGGCAAATAATTACTTTTGAGTGTATTTTGTTTTTGATACAAAATTGAGAAAAAAAGATTATAAATATTGACATATAAGTTAATACTTACTTATTTATTAAGTATTAAAGATGAAAAATATATAAAAATAATAGGTTCATACAAATATATTTATTCAAACAAGTAGTTGGTTAATATCCAAGAATTTAGGAGGGGGTTTCTCATTAATTGTCTGAATATATACTTTTGGCTGCTCTTTCATCTTTTCCTGTATCGAATTTAAAGTTAACATATTGAATAAGGGTAAAATCACATTTGGAGTAAAAACTTGGCTGGGTTTTACTAGTACTGGGATCGGTGGTGGCTTAAATTCGAACTTGAATGCTGCTGTATGATGTGGAGCAAGCAAATTATCGGTTTTCACCAATCTTCCTTTGTCATCTAGCTCATAGTATTTCTCTGTTCCTTCACTTGTGTATGTTATCCATTTGGCTCTAGTATGCTGTGTTGGACGTCCGCGACGCATATTGAAATTTGATAACTTTACAACAATCTGTCAACAGCAAGTATAGAATATAATATCATTGAACTAATATCGATTTTGATCAGAAAATAATGAAATTATATCACTTCAGTTCACTCTCTTTCAAATAATTGAATAGTCAAGGAAAATAAAATAAACAACATTGCTTAATATTAACTAAAATAATTACTATAAAATGATTGAACTGTAATTATGCCAACTTGCATACAAATATTTCAGATTTCAACAAAAGAAAGTGACGGAGTTTTGCTAAATATCAGTTAGTATTTTTTATTAATAGCATTATTTATTTTAAAATTGCATGATGTAAATTTAACTCCCTTTGAAATCCGATCACCGAAAAAAAAAACGATAGAATCTATTTCAAATAATGATCTATACTATTTTCAAAAACCCGACTTTCTGGTGAACGATATCGCCATTGAATCTTAATTTATATTGCATCGTTCATAATATTAATATATATCTTGACAATATTAAAATTTCAATCTTTTAAGGGTGCACCCGTATGTACGTTTATTTGAGAGGAGGAGGATTACCCTCTCAATTTTGAGGGATTCGTTAGTTTATTTTCTCGATGAATATGCAATAAAATTTGATTTTTACCTTATCAATATACTTCATATAATATACACATGTTCATGTAAAAACTTTTTTCCAAAATCCTCAGGAATTAAGGGATTTTTGAATTTTAAGAATTTTTTTCGAATTTTTTCGAAAAAAAATATTTTCAGAACAGCCTTAACGGCTAAGATTTAGGAACAATGTTAAGTATCAAAAAGAAAGGAGGTCTGATATAGACAACATATATCGTTGAAGGTTGAAAAAATCTCTAATATTTGAGCCCAAAATTTCAAATTTTAATTTTTTGAAAAAAGAGGCCACCCGTATGTACGTTTATTTGAGAGGAGGAGGATTATATTTTTGAAAGGGTGAAACATTATGAATATGTTAATTATATAATAATATGTATTATTATAAAAAAGAAAAAATAAAGCACGTTAAAATTTTTCTTGATTTTTTACAAAATCTACTTAGAATTATGCAAAATATGACTAAATAATTATAAATTTCAAGTTAAATTTTAATTTTGATAAATAATTTAAATTTCAAAATATCAAGTTCAGTTCGACTATGTATGTAGTAATTCCTCAATAAAGTGTCAAAACCCTATTAAAATATATGAACATTTTCAACATTTTAATGTTTTTATTTAAAAATTTGTTGGAATATGAGCTTCAAACAATTATTATGTAAATAAAAATAATTAAATATATGTATTTATTCGTATTACAACCGTAGTAAGTCGATTCTTCCTTTCTTCTACTGAGTTTTGAATTTGATTTCGAATTGTAAAGAGATTCAAAGGGAAAATACTAGCGCATAAAAACTACCTCCATGAAAGGGTCATAATGGAGTCAAGTTGTATTTTTTGATATTTTTTGCTTTTCGAGCCTAAATAGGTAGCCAAGATAATGCCTAAAAATAAGGTTCTAAATTCTGAAGTTTACATGATCCTCTCGTGTGCACCCTTAAGGAATTCAAGTTTTGTACACTTTTTGAGAGCAATAATTCTTTCATTTTTTTAAAGTCAGTTTTACTTATGAATGAATATGGTTCCTTAAGCCAATAAGCAATTTATTAACGATGGAACAATTTATCCATAATGAATATCGATGAAAATTTTTTTATTGATCTTGAGAAGGCGGAAAAAATCGTTCAATTTTTTGAAAGGATATCTGCATTACTTGCATTACACTTGTCTCTTGGATCGAATATTTCTCATGAAGCAAGCCCGTTATAATATTTCGGAGTTTTTCTTTTGATGAATGATGTGTAAGTTTAGTAGTAGTATATGACGGGTTGTGTGACTTTTATTGTAAACGTAAGAATTCATACAATATTGAACGATTTTGTATCATTTTTTTTAACATATGAAGTAAAAAAATGTATGATTCTTACGGTTTTTATTCTTACATAAATGACCCAACAAGTAAAACCAGATAAAATAGATTATCGAATTTTAGAGGATGGTGTTCCTGTTTATATTCAAAGATTTAAAGGGAAGCAATATTATAGAATTGTTAATCCTGAATATCTTAAACATCAATTTAAAAAGGAAGACTGTGAATTATTAAACGCTAATGAATATGAAAATGCTAAATCAAAACTGAGATATAAATATATTGGAAGTGATGAAAGGTGTAAAGATAAAGATAAAGTTTATTCAGTTTCATATAATGAATGGAAAAACAATAAGATAAGAAAACATTTAGGAGATTATGGGAAATGTTCTGAATTCTTCAAATCTAGTATATACGAGAGAGTAAAAGAAATTAGAAATAATTATTTTCATGAATAAAAGATTCACTACCATAATGAAATACAATATCGAACGATTTTGTATCATTTTTTTAACATATGAAGTAAAAAAATGTATGATTCTTACGGTTTTTATTCTTACATTTTTGAATAAATCAAGATTTAAAAATTTTCAAATTGTAAGACATTTACACTCAGCTCATACATAATAACATTAATTTTAAAAGAAGCTATATATATAGATGATGTCAGATATTCCGCGATTAATTAAACATTGTTTAAATCCTGAATGGAATCAATGGAGTCATAATCAAAGACCTCATAAACGAGAAAAAGAAATTAGAAACTAATGATTTTCATGAATAAAAAAATAAACTTTAAAAATTCATGTCTTACATTTTTTGAATAATTTATTTTTTGTTTTGTATGAAATGAGCGTCAAAACTAACGATGTTAAAAATTTAGGATTCACAAACGAGGAAATAAAGGATATATTAGAGGAGGCGGGTTATGAAGTTGATAAATATTATTTAAGAAATTGTAAAAAATTTGCCGAGTTTTTAAATGAATTTGATTATGATGGAAAAATGAATAAAGATGATGTTATAAATTTCTTATATCCCACATCTGAAAAAGAAGAAAAACCTAAAGAACCTGATGTTTTCCCTGAATATTATGAAGAACGGATTAAAGATGATGAATATAATGAAATTGAAAGACTGGAAAAAATAAGAGATGAAATAGATGAAAAAATTAAGGAATTAAGAGAAGTTGAAAAATATAATGAAAATGAAGTAGAGGGTTTAATGAATATCCCAGCTTCAGAATCAGAAGTTCAGAAATCTCATGAAGAAAGATATAAAAATTATGTCTCAGAATCAACACAAAATTTATTAGATGGTGAAATAGACGAAACACTTTCAGAAGAAGGTATTAAATTTATTCGTAAACATAAGTTACAATTTATTGATAATGAAAAATACCCCTGTATCCTACTTTCACCACCTTTAGATTCCGAAAAATTCAAAAAAGCTCTTAAAAACGTGACATATGCAACTAATACGATTAAGAAAGAAGATCATGATATTTACACAAATTATTATTTAAATAAATGCACAGGTGTTGATAAAGTTTTTGATTTATTAGATAAAATATCAAAAGAAACCATTGGAACCTATAAAATTTTGTGTGATTGTGGTTTCATTATTGAAGATACCAATAATGTTTCATATGAAAGAACAGCACCGAAGGAAGACGAAGTTGAAAGGTCTATACCATTCGTTATTAAGAACATAAAAGATATGAAAACTTATAAGCATTATATTTATTCATTTATTTCAGAAAAAATGGAAGCAACCCATAAAACATCTTCTCATCATTTTATAGCTATTCATACATTCCTTTTCAAAGTTGTGAAATTAAATAAGACAGGAATTAGATTTAATGTATCAGGGTACGCATTCTTGAGTAAATTAAAATGTATTCGTCACGTCGCAGATGATAAAAATTTATGTGTTCTTAATTCATTTTACGGACTTTAAAAAATAAACTTTATTTTTTAATTTTTTTTCTTACATAAATGAACAAAAACGGAACAGCTAAAATGAATGATAATCAAATTAGAGCAGAAGGTAGAAGGTTATTTAAACGCTTCTATAACATTCCTGATGGTGTTAATCCTAAAACTCGTAGAAGCTATTTAAATGAAGCAATAGATGCATATGAGGGGTTTGACATTTCATCAGAAAGTGAGAGATTAGCGAGAATGTTAAATGTTAATATTGATTTCTATTATTGTGATCCTCAACCAGAAGACGTGGACATAAATAAGGTAGACTTTCCATTAGTGGAATCAATAATGATAGATCCAGAATTTGAAACAGTAAATATTTTATTAACACAGAGTCCATGTGGAAAACTTCACGCTGACAGAATAACAGACGTTGAAACACTCACCGGCTATAAAGTTTGTCCATATTGTAAAGAAGAAGTTTATTCTATCCGTGATGATCCAGAAAGGAAAAACCAAAGAAGATTTTTAAAGCATTGTGAGAAATGTAAAGAAAATAATGGAAGATTAATTCAAGACGTTCAGTTGCAAAAGACACAGCAACCATATGCACCACATATTACGAAACAGAAGATATATCAGTGGTTATTAGCTCACAATTTGCAGGAATATTATCAACCGACAAGATATTATATTACTTTTGACTTTGAAACATTAGAGACTAAAGAAGAATTACAACTTTCTGAGTGTGCAACTTTGAACGCTTACTTAAAACCATTCATGGTATCATCAACGGTTAAATTAAACGATAAAACATATACGAGGAATTTTTGCTTAACTTCGAGTGATTCTTTTATTTCTGATTGGATTGAGTTTTTATTTTCAACCTGTTCATTAGTTGCTAAATCAAATATTGAACAATATGAAGAATTATTGAAGTCGCAAACGGTGGGAACTTTGTCCCATACATTAAATGAAAAACAGAAGAAAGCATTTAAAGAACTTCTAGATGAGGAATTCAATAAAGTGAATATCATAGGTTTTAATTCGGGAAAGTTTGATTTAAATTTAATTCTTCATGATTTAAACACTGCAAAATGGAAAATAAAATCAATGCTGGGTTCATCTTCACAATTTAAGCAAATCATTG